AAGGGGGTCAAACACCGTATTAGTATGGTGTTCCTAATAATCCTTTAGGTGAGTGTATAGGTGAGAGCCAGCGTGGCAGCTAATGGCAGCCACCCGTAGCAGCACCCATGCAGCTGGGGCTTAAGAGTCTTGCTCAAGGGCCCACGGACATGAGACTATTCTGCCGAACGCTGCTCCCAATTTCATTAAGCATTTCCAAATTATATGAAGTTTAAACATAATTGTCCACCTAATTTAAGTTACCTGTATTCCTTTAACCTCCTTGTAGAATATAAAGAGATCAGGCTGGCTGACGGCTGCTCTGGGCAGTTGGAGGTTTTCTACAATGGCACCTGGGGAAATGTGTGCTTCAATCAAATGGACGCAAACACAGCCAACCTGATATGTCAGCATCTCAACTGTGGAAAGAGTGGGACTGTTTCTAACTCATGGTCTCGACTGAAAGGAGCTCCGAACTGGCTTGATAACCTGAAATGTCGCCCACATGACTCCACACTGTGGCAGTGCCCATCCTCTAACTGGGGAGACAATAAATGTGATGAAGGTGAAGTGGCTCAGATCACCTGTGACGGTAACTTACTATATTCATTATTTTTATTATTCCACTTTGTGTTTAGATTTATTAATTTATTAGTTTGTATGATTACAAACTAATAAACAGTACAGATACAGTGTTTAGGAGTTTATCAAATGTAGGATTAATTCTGACTCAAATGTAGGATTAATTCTGACTCAATTATCTATATTTATTTACTCTTTCAGGTATTCCAGCAACATCAACAACAACAAAAAAAGGTATAATTTTTATATTCTTATCTATAATGCAGTACTTAACTATGTTTTTCCTTTCAGTGCTTTAACTTCTTATGGAGGAGTTATTTAAATATATTTGTGTAACTGCCCTGACCATGACAAATGGTTAGAACATGGATATTTCATATTTTTTAATAAGATAAAGTTTTAGTTATTTCAGAAATGTTTCATGTCTAGCGATTTCCATTAAAATGTGTTTGCACATTTATTTAGTACAGTCATTCTGCACTGTCAGACACATTTTATGCTGAAGTCTCTTTGAGTCTCTTTCAGTTGTACTCCCCATTCCTTTTGTGGTTTTCCTGGTACTGGGAGCTCTTGTCTTCCTGCTGCTGGTCATAATAGCTGTCCAGTTGTACCAGAACAGAGTGCTGAAGAGAGGTACAGAAGTATACAGCTAGGGGATGACTTACATTAAGAATGATCTCTCTGAATGATTCATATTAAGTTTGTGTTACTCTTTGCATTTTTCATTGTTGGCTTTAGTAATAGACAGACAGGGGGTCAGAGGTCATGTGACACAGAGAATTAGCCTATAGCAATAGCCTAATTTACAAATATTTTGCTCTTAGATTTATTTGACAATGGGGT